TCTGGCCCCGGAGGCCGCCCGGGCCATGGACGAGGCGGCTCGTCAGGCCTGGGGCAACCCCAGCAGCTCCCACCCTGCAGGTAAGGCGGAGGGGCGGCGGCCGGGCCGGGCGCGGCGCGGGGCCGTGGGAGGTGGAGCTGCCGGGCTGTGTCCCGCAGGCAAGAAGGCCAAGGAGCTCATCGAGAGCGCCCGGGAGAGCCTGGCGAGGCTGGTGGGGGGCCGGCCCGAGGACATCATCTTCACCTCGGGGGGCACGGAGGTGAGGGCACCTGGTGGTGAACGGCCACCGTCTCTGTGCGGACGGGATGGGGAGAAACGGTGCCGCGCATCCCCTGAGTCTTACTTCTCCCCTCTCTCTTTCTCAGGCTAACAACATGGTCATCCACACGGCCCTCAGGTATTTCCGAGAGAGCCAGGGGCAGGGCCGTGCCGTGCCACACGTCGTGACATCAAATGTGGAGCACGACTCCATCCGCCTGCCGCTGGAGCAGCTGGTGAAGGAGAGCCTGGCAGGTGAGAGGGGTGCTGGGAGGGAGCAGGGAGGGATGGGATTGGGGTAATTGGCCACAACTGCCCTCAAATGGCACAAACTCCTGACACTTGCCCACATTCCTGCAAGCTGGGCATGGTAGCTGGCTGGTATGAGACACTGCTGACCCAAGAATTGCAGGACTCTGTCTGCATGCCAGCTGCCCACGCAGCCCTTCTGCTCTTTGTTAGTGTTCGGGCAGCACTGAGGGGCTTCTCAGCAAACCTGGAGACTTGTTTCTTATCTTGCAGAAACCACCTTTGTGCCCGTGTCCCCACGAAGCGGGCGGGCTGAGGTAGATGATGTTCTTGCCGCGGTGCGGCCGACCACCTGCCTAGTTACCATCATGTTGGCCAATAATGAGACAGGGGTCATCATGGTGAGTCTCTGGATAGCAAGTGGATGGGATACAGCCAAGAAGGTGTCCAGGAGACATCCTTGTAAAAATGTGTTTAATAAGAGAGAGGAAGTGGTTCTTCAGACGCGGACTTCCTTCCTGTCAGCCTGTTGCAGAGCTGAGCCAGCGCATCCGTGCCCTCAACCAGAGGAGAGTGGCGGAGGGGCTGCCCAGGATCCTGGTGCACACGGATGCAGCACAGATGATTGGCAAGGGGCACGTGGACGTGCAGGAGCTGGGGGTGGATTACCTCACTGTTGTGGGACACAAGGTACAGCTTTGCTCATGAGGCTCAGACACCATTTGCGTTTGTGGATATCTCTGGTTAGCCCAGGGCAACTAGCAGAATGTTGCTGGGAAAGCACTGTGGGGCACAGCTGTGGGTTTGCATATCTCCCAGATGCTGAGATCCCAGGAAATCCCCCAGCAGTTGAGCAAAGCTGGGTAGTGGGGATCATGCCAGTCAGGGGGATCTGTCTGGAAGGGAAAGTAGGAGGTGACTGAGGGCTGAGGACAGCTCTGCAGGGCACTCAGTTTGGTTTAGGCAGCTGTCTGTCACCAGGGCACCTGGTACTGTGTCTGCAGGGTTAGTGTGAGCTTTCGGTTTTGTTTTTTTTTACCTGCAGTTCTACGGCCCGCGGATTGGCACACTGTATGTGCATGGTCCTGGCACCACCACCCCACTGCACCCCATGTTCTTTGGAGGCGGGCAAGAAAGGAATTTCCGACCAGGGTAAGGTGGCTGTTCAGTGGCAAAACTGCACTGGGCTGCTCAGCCTGAGCTGAGGTGTCAGTGCTGTTATCTCCATCCCAGGGTTGGGGAGATGGGTTGGTGTGTGGGAGCTTCAGGTGCAGGCTTTGCATGGGTGGAGTTACAGGGTGAGCTGTCCCCTTCCCAGCTGCATCAGAGAGCTCCCTGACAGTGGTGAGGGGTCCCATGTGGGGAGCGTTTGTGTCCTGAGACTGGAGGGTGGACCAGAAGGTCCAGGTAGATAAGTCACTGCTCACTCTTCTTTTCCAGCACTGAGAACACCCCGATGATTGCTGGCCTTGGCAAGGTGAGTTGGATATAGGTGAGAGGTTCCTCATGGTTGCTGCCTGGCAAAGCCAGCACAGACACAGCCTGCTGCATTCCTCAGTCTTTAAAAATAACATACTGAGTGCAAGAGGACAGCTGAACTCCAGGAAAATGAGATGGGAGTTTCTGGTGTCAGCCTAAGGAGCTGCTTCAAAATACGCACTGCAGACTTTGCCCTGCTGACTCCCAGGGCAGTGGGGCAGCTAATGCTGCACCGGGCACTGAGCACCTACTGAGAGACAGGAGGACTGGCAATTGCAGAGGTTGTTTCTGGGCTGCGGTTGCATGCTAAGGGGGCTGCATGTGAGGGAGTTGTTTAAAGGTTACTGACAGAACCTGTCTGGATCTTATCAGGCCGCAGAGCTGGTGAGCAGGAACTGGGAGGCCTACGAGTCCCACATGCGGGATGTTCGGGACTACCTGGAGGCCAGGCTAGAGGTGAGCAGATCTGGCTCCGGTTGTTTCTCCCCTTCCTGGATCTCAGCCTGCAGAGGGCAGAACCCTGGGTTGAAGCTGAGTCCTTCTGGCTCAGCCAGGACACAGCTGCTCATGTTCTCATAGCCCTCTGATTTCTCCAGGCATCCTTTGGGAAGCTGAGGATCCACTTCAACAGCCAGTTTACAGGCTCCAAGCGACTCTGCAACACCTGCAATGTCTCCATCTTGGGCTCAGGCCTTCAAGGTAGCTCTGTTCGTATGTCTCCTTTGTCCAACTTCAACAGTGTGCTGCAGCATGTTGCATGCCTGAAACACATGGGAGCTCAGCCATGGCTTGGGCAGCGAGTCTCAGAGGGAGACTGGGCACTGAGAGATTTGTGCTCGTGTGTCTTGCAGGGCGCAGGGTGCTGTCTCACTGCAAGATCCTTCTCGCCAGCGTTGGGGCTGCTTGCCACTCTGAGAAAGGAGATCGGTAAGCAGCTGGCCCTAGCAGAGCATCTTTTCATAGGGGAGAGGGTGGGTGGGAGGGAGAGAAGGCAGGGAAAGAGACTGTGGGTGGCTGTCAGCATCGTTGCCCTGCAGCAAAGGGAGTGCAAAGCTTTCTAGAGAGGCTGAAGTATGCGAAGGAGGTCATTGCAGGAAACACAGCTGGAACGCATGACTGCTGCTGGAAAGGACTTTGTCCCTCCTGGCTCTGGTGGTGCAGCTGAGATTGGAAGTGCTCCTCAATGCCTGGCACTGCCATAATAGAATCTGCCTTATGTCTGTGTGGGTCTGGCTCACCCACTCAAGCCCTTGTTGGGTCTCCAAGGGACTCCTTTGGTTGCATATGGGACATCAAGTCCTTTTGGGCTGATGTAGAGCAATGCCATCTGGAATTGCCAGTCCATGGCAACACTGGGAAGCTTCCTTCTTGGAGGAGAAAAGCCAGATCTGCCACAGGGAAGCAAGCTGTGTGGAGCAGATGCCTTTGGAAAACATGCGGTTTTCCTAGAGTGCATCTGTACAGACGTGCTCCTTATTCAGGCTCTGTGAGGCTCTCTGGTGATGCGTTTTCTTGGTTTTCAAATTAAACCCACTCACCTCCACGTTTGTTTCAGGCCCTCCTCGATTCTGCTGAGCTGTGGGATCCCCTGCGACGTAGCGCAGAACGCCCTGCGGCTGAGTGTGGGGCGAGACACCACCCGCGCGGATGTGGACCTGGTTGTGCAGGACCTCATGCAGGCTGTGGCACAGCTTGGCAAGGACCAAGCCTCGTAGGCCTCAGGAATCACTCCTTGCCCGTCACCCAGGTTCTCGGGGTAGGATTGTGCTCTGCTTCACTCCTGGGTGCTGGCTGTGGCAACCCCTTTTATGCTGGTTGTAGAGGGGCAGGATGGTGACCAAATTAATAGCAAGTCTCTGCTAACAGGATTTGCTCCTCCAATCTTATGTCCAGTCTTCTAACTCCATGGCTGCAGACAGTCAATTTGAAATTGGGGTTTGGCAGGAATAACCTTCTGCCTGACAACCCAGCCAAACTGACCCAGCCTCCAGCTTGGGATCACTGATTCAACATTGTGAAAATGGTGGCTGGAGGAGGAAGCAAGATAGTCTGTTTCAGTAGCAGTGTGCTGAAACACTGCCGCTTAGCTGTCTATTGCCTTGCACTTGCAGTGACTGCAGTATGGCTGGTTTGCCTCCACAGTGTGTGCTGCCTTAGCAGAAAAGCTTGCAAGTGTGTGCTGGTGGCAGCAGGGAGCTGGGGGCTGTGCTGAGGAGATGGCTTTGCTACTTTGGGGCTGGAGCAGCTCATCTAGTTTTTGCTGAGGACTCTGTCATCCCTATTGCATGGTGCAGACATTTTGGGTGCATTGCTATCAGGCATTCCTGCTTGCCAGCACATTTCTGCACGTCTCAAAGAGTCTCAGAGCTTGGCTGCCTCCAAAGCATAACAGGCGTGGAAGCCATAGAAGCTGAAGGCTTTTGCACTGGTTGCTTTCCACAAAGGAAGCTTTCCTGCTGTCTGATCGCTGAGAGGAAGAAAGACCATCTGTCCCAAGGAGAAATGAGTTTATAGCAACGCAGCAAGAGGCTGGGCTGGGCACTGCACTGCCCCTGCCAGAGCCCTAAGCCACAGAAGTGTTTTCTGGCTGGGAAAGTGTTGGGTATAGCTTTCCCAGCGCTGTATTGCATTACTTGCTCCTTGTCCTTCCTACAGTGAGCAGAGCTCCTGTTGCTGGCTCCACGTGCTCTGAAAAGAAATGGCTGTTGCAGATGCCTTAATGCGTGCCAGTGCCTGAGGAAACGTGTCACCCCTGCGTGGCCAAGGCAGTTGTTCTGACATTAGGACATTAGGAGGACACAGGTGTCGAATGCATTGGGAGTGCTGCGGCTGGGCTGACTGATTTCTGGAAATCTGGTCTTTTGATATTCATAGGAATAAAATTGATTGCCACTGCTGTGGCATTTTCCCATGTAAAATGTATTTTCCCTGGTGTTTTGGGGGAAGCTGGACTGGTTAAGATCATAAGAGGGAAGGCTTTTCCCTCTGAAAAGACTGGTGTCCTAGAACCGCCGGAGGCACAGTCTGCTGGCACAGGGAGGTGTCTGCTGATCCTGGCTGCAGTGCATCCGTAACCCCAGGGCTCCCCATCTGCTGTCAGCTGGCAGGGCTCACAACCAGCAACGGTGGGGGGTGGGCAGGGAGGGGGCAGTGAGGGGAGCCCCGATCACTCCTTGCTGCTGGTGTTGCCCCTGAGCAGGGAAACACACAGGGCAGCAATAGTGACGTACTGGGATATTTTCAGAGGCCAAAGTGTCCTGGGACTGCTTAGGAACTATGGTAAGAACAAAGCCTTCAACTTCTCGTCTTCTAGTTTCCTTCTGGGCTTATTCCACTGGGACCAATTGCAACTCTGAGTGACCAAACAGCTCTCAACTTCGAACACTTTCCTATTTCAGATGTCAGCCACAGCATGCCCTTAGCCACACCCCTTCTCAAGTCCTTGTTTCAGCTCTAGACAGCAACTGGGCTCATCACGCAGATGCCAATCCAAGACCCAACACTGCACCCCTTGTCAGGGAGACAACTTGAGGGCATGGGGGCGGGTTATTACTCATGCTACTATGATAGTCGGGGGTGTGCTGAATTCATGATACAGCATGCCTGCCACCTGCCTTTCAGTTGCTTCCCAGATATCCTCGATGTCTGGAACAGCATCAGTGTCTGTGTTTACTGACACCTCCTGCTACTAGGTGGGCTTTGCACCCATTCCTCCCTGCTACCCTGGTGATCTCAGGAGCTGAGGCCCCTAGGGCCAGAGTGCAATGGCTCAGGTTTTCCATCTGAAAAAATACTGTGATATGTCTTCTTTGTTATTCTGTTTTCAGGAATTCAGAATCAATGGACTTGTAGTGTTTTTTATTGTCAGACTATGTTTACCAACAAGGAAGATTTATTTTCTTCCTGTTCAGAGACCCAGATTCAATCTATCCCAATTGTTGCTGTGGTTCACCAGATCATAAATATTAAGTGAGCCATTCCTGGTAAGCAGCAACAGCTTCCTCCTTGCTGGGTGGGCACAGGGTGCAAAACAAACCCAGTGTGTGCTCAGACTCCTCCTGCTGTGTCTTTTCAGCTGGCTCCCAGCAGTTCCAAGGATTTCCCAGAAGGATGAGAAAGATAAAAGCAAATGCTTCTGATGCCTCACCTTACATTTCTTAGTGACGGTCATGGCAGAGTAGGAAAGATGTGCAGTAGGGATTAATGCAGTTACTAGGCTGCATTTAATTGCAGAAAGCACAACTGTGGACGCAGATTCTTAAGACACTGGTCTTTCTCTTTCCTAGATGTTAGCAGGGTCAGGAATGCCATCTGTAACCACGACACTCCAGTGCTTTTTGTCCATTTAATTTTTAACTGAATTGTTAGGACCCAAGGACGCTGACTCAGAAAATTACTGAAAGGAGACTAAGCTTGCAGTACTTGTTTGGGTTGGAGAATGTGTTTAGGGCTGACTGTTCTGGGAATGGCTTTACAGTCACTAGATGCACACCAGGCTGTTTCTTGTCAACACCATTGCTCACACCTCAGTCTCAAATGCAACCTTTATTTTTCCCTCTCTTGCTCACAGTTGAAACCTCTTTTGGAGAAGGTGGTTCTAGGGAAGGAATACTGCCCTGCTCCAGAGGTTGGTCTTTTATTATCAGGAATTTTCCTGGAGCTCTATTTCAGAGTTGTAGCAGAACTGCAGATCCACTCAAGGGCATGGGGGAAAGACAGTTCTAGAGGTCTGGGCTTCCTGTGTCAGTTCAGGTAGAAGCCTAACCACGGAACACAAAAAGCTTTACTGATACATTCTTTTGTTTATATAGACACCAGAAACACAAGTGATAATCACAGAACTATTAGCATTACTTCATCTGGAATATTACAGCCAAAGTGTAAGAAGTGTTACAGAGGATACAGACACCCTGGTTGACCATTTCAATGTTTTTGCTGCTCGTTTTCCTACTACCACAGTGCACAATAATGACAGTTGCTAGTGGATCCCTCTGTCTCTGTATTACTTTAGCAGGGTAAGTGAGGCAGAAAAGGCCTACAACTTGTCCTGTGCTCCACTACCCCCCGTGCTGGAGACAAATATCCGTTCCTCTCACGACAAACAGTGACTGTATGCGCTAGAACAAATTCACCTGTCATGGAAGTCTGGAAATATCAACGTTGCTACATCAGCTGTGAAGTTACACAGTAGAAAGAGGACCTGACCAGTACACTAAGACACAACAGAGTTGGAATAAGTTACTTTCATGTGGTCGCACACGTAACAGACACAACAGTAACGCATTTCCAGAACTGGACAACAAAACTGCAGTTCACTTAATGGAAGAATCTACAATCTCCTGATAATCTTGCCTTCCTAAATTCTTCCAGGACAGTTTATAACATGCAAGGAAAAAAACACTAACCAAAATAACTGCTCCCCCAACAAGATCGTAAGTACCTGGCAAGATGCGCAGCACGATGAGCTGCAGGACCATGGCAATGACTATCTCTAGGTGCTGTACAGTGCTGACCAGAGCAGGGTGGAACTTGCTCAAGGCATAGTAGACCCCCAGGAAGGCTGCTGTGGAGCACAGGCAGATGGCGAGGAGATAGCTCCAGGTTTCTCCATCCAGTGGGACGATTGGCTCCTGAAGTAAGAACATGGTGGATGCTCCCCATACCGTTCCTGTCCAACTAAAGGTGAACAGTGCTGTCCACATGCTGATGTTATCTTTGATTGACCTGTAGACTATCATGGAAAGAGCAGTGGTCAAGCCTGCCATAACAGTCATGGTGTAGCCAAAAGCTTCCTTCCAGGTGCTCAGCAGAGAGTTTTCTTCCCTAACAATGTTGGGGATCATGACCAGACAAACGCCAAACACACTGCCAACTACCGTAACTATGTCTACGTAAGCCATTCCTTCATCTACTAGCAAAAAAGCCAAAATGGCACTGAACACAGTAGTGGTAGCCCTCCACATAATGGTCCCGTTACTAGGGGGAACTATAGAGAAAGAAGTATAAGCACACGTAATGGAGATAACGTTGCAGACCCCATAGAAGAAGAGCCGGAGTCTGTACCCTTTGGGGCCAAAGGGTGGCTCATGGTAGTAACACACAGCAGTAATGGACAGCACTTGCAAGACTGAACGGATGAAAATTAACTCTAGTGATGGCACTTTGGAACGATCAGAAATTAATCGTGTAATTAAAGCCACGCATCCGTGAGCCACGGCAGATCCAAAAAGGACTATCCACATTTTCCTTGACTGCAGTATATTTCCTTCAGGAAAGTTCTGGAAATGCCCCATCTCACTGGGTTTGGACAGTTGTGCTGGCTGAAGCTGCGTATCTATTGTACCGAAAAAGGTCCTTTCTCTTTTTTTCCCAGCATTCAGTAGTCTTGTCTTTGGACTGTCCTCCATAAATACTCCTGTGTCTTCATTACCATCCTCATATCCCTCTTCTCCTGGCTGGGGATAATGAGATGTATATTTCACTGTTACCGTGTTGGGGTGAATTTTCACTCGCTTTTTGACTGGATATTTTTGGGAAGATGAATCCATTTCCTCAGAGAAATGTCCTGGTCTTAAGGGAAAAACAGGAATGCACCATTATTTTCTATTTCACGAATACTGAGAGATTCATTAATATGCAAATATGCTGTTAGTGATTACAAGCTATTTTTATGAGCCATGTCCAAGTACACATAGATTGTTCTTGGTTTTGCTTTAGCTCCATTTCATTTGCCAATTCTTGAAAATGGCACATTCCCATTATGTATGGGTTGTATAATGTCCCAGTCTATCTGTATTCTAATGAGAAAGTTCTCTCACTGAAGCTTTTTGGACAGTAAATACCCTGTAATGAATTATACTTGCTAATTGCTTGCTAATTTTAAAAGATTACAGGAGTTTGGCAGGAGATGACAACCTCGTTTGTAAACCCCAGAGAACAACACAGGGAAACTGTATCCCTGAGCAAGTCAGCATAGGTAGCCTATGAAGAAACAACACATTTTTGAACAATACTTGACAATGTTAAAATACCTTCTTTTCACGTCTTATTTCCAGTGACTGACTTTGCAACAGAGTTGTTCTTCATGTCTCATTCAGTGCTTATTTTGTCCGCAGCTCCCTGCACATCTGTGCAAACAGCCCTTCCCCTGAGGCAGCAGCAGGGAGAATGGAACCTTCCTGTAGGAGGTCCAGTGTGCCCCACCACATACACCAACAAACATGCAGACTTTACCTGCTTTTGAGAGGTTTGATTCCAAGCCAGAATGAGAAAACACTTCTCTGTCATCTACATCTTTGTCCACATATCTAAACAGAAACAGTAAAAGCTCTGATACCAAACAGAACGGGGCACAGCGATCTTAGCAAAGAAAGCAGAGCTCAAGGCAGGCATGAGACATTCTGATTTTGTTCAGAGTTGAACGTTTGAGACGTGCTATGAAGTCATGCTCCTCTGGAACTGGCAACACTGGAGCACTGTTGGAGAAGGAAAAAAAAAAGAGGAAAAAGCAATCAAGTGTAATCTTGCTAAAATCACGCTTCAACTTGATCTCGGAATTATTGAGTGAATTAATCTAAAGAGCAAATGGTGGTTTGTGAGCACAAGGTTCCTACAGTTTAATAACAAGAAAATTCACCATCTGATGCCCACTGTCCTGCCTTTACCTCTGCAGACGAGCGGATGCCCAAGAGGGCTCATCCTCCCCAGGAGCTGCGAGCAGCTCAGCCCCACAGACCACAGCAGTTTGGCCTGTGGTGTGTCTGACAACAACCGTGGGGGGGTTGGGCTGCACACAGCAGCACATCGCCAGGGAGAACTGCAGACAGAGCCCACATAGAAGGCAGTGACAGGAGGGTGCAGTAGCACTGCACAGGTAGTTACCATGACCTGGTTCAGCCTTCACATTTTCTCCATCTATGATCAGTGACAGTCAAAGCAGTGCCTGTGCCTGGCTGACAACAACATCTACGTAAGAACAGTGTTTTGGTCAGGGTGAGGGTTTCTTAACCCCTTGCTTATACCCAAGCGAAGATGTATCCCAGCTCTTAGATGGAGTGGTTGGTAGGGGCAGAGAGGAACGGGGCTGAAAGTGCATCCAGGACACCATTAAATGGTGAAGGAGGATCCAGGATTCCCATTAATGCACAGTATATATACTGCAGGAAACCTGAGGGGCACCAGCTGAAATGCCAAGGTGAGTAGATAAAGGGTAGGAGCTGAGCATCAGCTGCACTCGAGGGCAGTGTGAGCAACCCATCTGGCATTTAAACAGAAACTACCAGCATCATGCCCCAGTCTTATCTGCTGCTGCTGTTTGTGCTTTTTCTGTAGATAAGCTGTTAATTTCAGATTCTTTTAACAAGCAAATGCAAAATGAACAGGATGAGTCCAGGAAGGCAGTGCCTTTCACAAGCACAGCTTTTCCTACCTAGCGTTTTCTTTGTGTTTTACATTCACTATTCTACCTTGTCCTCCCCACGTCTTAAAACGAAGGCCTTGATCTCCACAATGCATGGGGAAAGTGGGAGGACAAAACTGCAAACAGTGCACAAGAGGAGTTGTTATTTTAGCAACAGTGGATAAACTCAGTCCTCTCATCCAGAAACAGATGAGCATGTGCTGCAACTGTTGGTTCATGGAAAAAAAATAACAACAACCCTCCCAAATGCATTTCTCTAATTGTTAGCATCCTGCAGCATCTCTCTTTCCTCCTGAGTTTTGGTGACATTTTTTTCCAGCAAATACAGAAAAGGGAATAGAAAAGAGATGAAATGCATTTGCAAACGTAGTGCTGGACCCGTGCAATGCGTTCAGAGAGCTCCCTGAAGGGAAACAATGGCTGATGGGCACACAGCTCAAAATGGCTGCACGGCTCAGCGCTCCCTTCAGCACTACCGGCACTGGCAGCAGGGAGGTCTGCAAAGCAGAAAGGAGAACGTCAGGAACGAGGAGCAACGAGAAAAAGTAACTGCACTGCTTCAATCACAATTGCATTTCATCGACTCAGGACTGGGTTTGTGGCATGCTGTGCTGTCTCAATACTTGTTTGTACATTCGGGCCATCTGCATTTCTTAACGGTGAGGATTTGAGAGGGGACTGAGATGGGTGCATATCCCAAACCCGCAGCGGTTGTCCTGCAGGCAAATCTAAAACAAATGGAAGTTAGCACAGCCTTTGCAGAAAACTTGCCACTTCTGCCAATGCCTTTTGTGGAGATCACATGAAGCTCGTGGGGGTTTTTCTGCTTTGTATCCGGAGACATAAAATGATTTATTTGCGTTTCTTCTGAAAAATGTAATTCAATTTTGAATGAAATATAACAGAAGGCTGACAATTACATCCCGTGCAAAGTTCTCGCATTGCACAGCAAAACAAACTTGATTCAGACACCAACCTGACACCCATTTAAACTGCCAGCTCTTGGAAGTCGCCGACTGTCAACATGGGAGCACGTTCCCATGGGTGTGCAAATCATCACAGCGGACTCACCGAATGTCACACACCGTTAATACAGTACATAGCATGACTTCTTTTTTAAAAGAACCCCTCCTCACCCCTCCTAAAAAACCAAAAGCATGACACGAATGCTGATTAGCGATTACAAGGCAGGTAGGAATCCACGACTGAGTGCCATTCAGTGCTGAGCAGTGGGAGACTGCGCCTGCCTTCTTGCCGTGCCTGGGGGAATTCAGCCTTTGCCACCCGACTGCTGCTTACCATCAAAGATTTTTAATAGCCTCACAGGAAACTACTCTCAACCTATGCCAGGTTAGGCCAAAATCAGTCAGCCAAGTGAAATGTAACACCACAGATCTGCGGGCACGGCAACTGCACTCCTAACAAAGTCAGAAACGCGACGCCAGCCAGCCCCGTGCCGGCAGTGCCTGGTGGGATGCTCCCTTACCGCTGCTGGGACATCGCCCCGAATCCGGACAAACGGGGGCTGTCCGAGGGCTGCAAGCAATCTCTACCAGATTACCAGACCAGTAATTTCCCCTCACGCGTGCAGCGGGCACACCGCACAGCTCCGGTACGGGACTCGGCTCGTCCCTCTGTCGCACCGCTGCTGCCAACAGCGCGCCGACGCCTCGCAAAGCGGCTTTTCCTACGGGCTGCAGCAGAGCCCGGCGCGGAGCTCCCAGCCGGCGGGGCTGAGCGGTGCGGGCTGCGGCAGGCGGGCGGAGCGGCAGGCAGCTCGGCGCCGTGTCACGGACGCTGCCGAAGGGATGCGCGGCACCAAATCGGAGCGCCTTCGTCTTTCCAGCCAGGCGGCCCGGCTACCAACCGGTAATACCGAAGGAAGTCTACAGCCTTTATTACAACCTGGCGGCCGGCAGAAGATGTTTCTATCTGCTATTTCAGGAGCCGCAGTGACGCTGACGGAGCTTGTTGGCGAACGCCGCGCTGCTCGTTCACCGCTTCCGACGCTCGGCACAGCCCGCGCGCTGGCGGCACCCGGCGGTTCCGCTCCGTACGCGGCCGCCGCCGCCCGCCCAGCCGTGCCCTGCTGTACCCTGCCGTGCCGTGCCGTGCTGTACCCTGCTGTGCCGTGCCGTGCCCTGCCCTCCCCGCGGGCACTTACCGCCGCCGACACACCGCCCTGAGCGGCCGCCGCGCGCCTCTCCCCGGCCGGCGGCCCCCGGCCCCCTCCGCCCTCGGCCGGCATCGCCGCTCCGGCCTCGCCCCCGCCGCCGCCTCGCGGGGCCGGTCCCGCCCCTCCGTCCTTCTGTCGCGACATTCCGTCCCCTCCCCGCCGCCCGTCTCCCGTCGCCCGGACGACGCCCCGCCCCCTCGGCCACAGCGGCGCCCTAACGGCGCTACGCGGCCGCGGCGCGGCGCATGCGCGGCGTTTTCGCGCGAAAGACGTTTGCGGCGCCCGGCTCTCGCGTGCCGCCGTCCCGACCCGCGGCGCCCCTCCGCCCCTCCCCTCGCGGCCCCTCCCCTCCCCTCCCGGCGGCGGCGGCGGCGCGGGGCAGTGGCGGCGCGCGGCCACCAGGGGGCGCTGGGGGTCCGGCGCGCGGCGGCGGCTGCGCCATTGGCGGTCGGAAATGCCGCCAGATGGCGGTTTAGGATTGCGGCTCCGGTGAGCGCGGCCCCCGCCAGCGCCGCCGCCCCGGCCCCGGCCCGCACCCGCCCGGACCCCGCGCGCCAGCCGCTCCGCAGGCTCCCGGGGCGCCGCCCGGCGCGGCGCGGCCCGAGGTGAGCGGGCGCGGGGGAGGGAGGGCGCTGAGGCGCCGATCCAAGATGGAGGCGCGAGGGGCGGGGGCAGCGGGCCGGGGCCGCTCGCTCGCTCGCTCGGTCTCCGCGGCGGCCGGGCCGGGAGCGGGCGCTGCCCGTGCGAGGAGAGAGGAGAAGGGGAGGGGAGGGAAGAGGAGGCGGCGCGGGGCGGGGCGGCTCCTGCCGGAGCAACGGGTCCCCCGGGCGCGGCGCTCTTCGCCGCCATCTCATTGTCCCCGCCGGGGCCGCCGGGGGCGCGGGGCCGAGCGCGGCGGCCTCTCCCGCTGCCGGGCCCGGCCCCGTCGAGGGCGGCGGCGGCGCTCCCGCGGCTCGGCCCGGGCCCGCGGGGGGCGGCGGGGGACGCTCGGGCGGAGCGGGGGTGGCGCTTCCGCCGTGCGGCCCCCCGGG